TCAAGCATCAAATCCTGTTGGTTCTTCTATTTGAGTTCCTCTGGCTTTATCTTCTCCTCTCTAACACATCTTTTCCAGAATCTGTACCTTTGTCTTACTTGATGATCTTATTACGCTGCATAAAGCCAGTCAGTGACTCCCCTCACATGGCTACTTCTGCTGGGCATGAAAGGCACCCACCTACCTTCATGGGCTGCCCACTGCATGACATTTCATCTTCATCTCCCACCATTTCTCTACTTTCACTTCGGATATTCCAGACATCTCTCTAAGTGACAAATGAAAAAGCTTTTGCTCACACTATTTTCTCTGCCTAGGTTGCCCTCCTCTATTTCTTTGTCTAGTAAACTACTCATCCTTCAAAACTGTGCTCTCTAATATGTAGCCAGTAGCCACATGAGGCTAACCTGAATTAAGATGTGCTGTGCTGTAAGTATAAACACTGGATTTTGAAGACAGTGTGTGAAAAAAAGTATAAATGTCCCAGTAATTTTACATTGATTGCCTATTGAAAAGATAATATTTTGGATATATTGGGTTAAGTAAAATATTATTAAAATTTATTGTTTCTTTCTATGTGGCTATTAGAAAATTTAAATTTAAACAAGTGGCTTGAATTCGTGGCATGCATTATATTTCTATTAGACAGTACTTCTTCAAAATCCTTACCCTGTAAACTTAACTGAAGAGGCAAAAGACTTGTACACTGAAAACTACAAAATGATGCTAAGAGAAATTAAAGAAGGCACAAATAAATGGAAAAACATTCCATGTTCATGGACTGGAGAATTAATACTGTTAAGATGTCAATACTAACCAAAGTGATCTCCAGATTTAATGCAATCCTTATAAAAATCTCAGTGACATTTTTTGCAGAAACAGAAAAAAAACCATCCTAAAATTCACATGGAATTTCACTGGACCCTAAATAACTATAATAATCTTGACAAAGAAGAACAAAGTTGGAGGTCTCATACTTCGTGGTTTCAAAACTTATTACAAGGCAACAGTAATCAAAACAATGTGGTACTGGCAAAAAGACAGACATATAGACCAATGGAATAAAATAGAAAGTCCAGAAATAAACCCTCAAGTATATGGTCAAATGATCTTCAGCGAGGATGCCAAAACCTTTCAATGGGGAAAGGAGAGTCTTTTCAACAAATAGTGTTTAAAAAACTGGTATCCACATGCAAAAGAATGACATGGACCTTTACCGTACACCATATACAAAAGTTAACTCAAAATGGATCAAAGACCTAAACATAAAAAATAAAAACTATAAAACTCTTAGAAGAAAACACAGGGAGAGAGCTTCATTGGATTTGGCAATGATTTCTTGAATATGACACCAAAAGCACAGGGAACAAAAGTAAAAATAGGTAAATTGGACTACATCAATATTTAAAACTTCTAAGCATCAAAAACACAACAGTAAAAAGGCAAACTATGGAATGGGAGAAAGTATTTGCAAACCATTTATCTAACAAGGGGTTAAGATCCAGAATATATAAAGAACTCCTGCAACTCAACAACAGAAAACCAAGCAACATCTAATTTAAAAATGGGCAAAGACTAGAATAGACATTTCTCCAAAGATGACATGAAAAGCTGCTCAACATCGCTAATCAAAAACCACAACGAGATATCACCTCACACCCATTAGGATGGCTGTAATCGAAAAAAATAAAAAAACAGAATATAACAAGTGTTAGTGAAGATGTGGAGAAATTGGAACTCTTGTGCCCCGTTGGTGGGAATGTAAAATGGTGCAGCTGCTATGGGAAACAGTATAGAAGTTCCACAAAAAAATTAAATATAGAATTACCATAAAATCCAGCAGTCCTACTTCTAGGTATATATCCAAAACAATTGAAAGCAGATATAACAGTACATCCATGTTCATAGCAGCATTATTCACAATAGCCAAAAGGTGGAAGTAACCCAAGTGTCCATTGATGGATGAGTGGATAAGCAAAATGTAGTGTGTGTGTGTGTGTGTGTGTGTGCGCGTGTGTATAGAGAGAGGTATATTATTTGGCCTTAAACAGGAAGGAAATTCTGACACATGCTACAATATAGATGAAGCTTGAAGACATTACACTAAGTGATGTAAGCCAGTCAGAAAAAGGCAAATACTATATTATGAGATATCCAGAGTAGTCAAATGCATAGAAACAGTAAGTACAACATGGCGGATGCCAGGGAGTAGGGAGACAGAAAATGGAGAGTTGTTTGATGTGTATAGATTTTCAGCTTTGCAGGGTGAAAAAGTTCTGGAGATTGGTTACATATCCATGTGAATATATTTAACACTATTGAAGTGAACACTTAAAAATGATTAAGATGGTAATTGTTATGTGTATTTTACCACAATTTAAAATTTTTAAAAATCAAGTCCCCCAAAAAAGAAAAAAAAAAACCCTTACCCAGATATCACCTGCCTCCTCCCCTCTAGTGTGAATTAACTACTCCTTCATGCCTCCACTTAATTCCTGCACACACCTCTAATAGGGTCTTATCACATTTTCGGTAATTCTTTGTTTGACAGGATAAGGGTTACTGTCCCATGAGTGAGATGAATACCCATCCACTTCTAGGGTCTTGACCAGAAGCTAAGAAAATATACTAGGGTCTTTAGTAAGATGGAGAAAAGAGACAGTAGCCCTGACTGCATAATATGCTACAGGGGATATTCAAGCGTATACCTTGTATGTGTAGAGGTGTCACCCTGAGGCTAGATCTGGCGGGGCTAATGTCCTTCAGCCATCCTTCTGGAAGCAGCATCGGAAAGAGCATGTCCTCCCACCTCCAACAGATGAAAACATCCCCTTCTCTATCATGAGTCCAACCAACTGAAATGATTGGCCACCCCCAGTCTGACCTGTTGGCAGGAAGAGAGGAAGATATTCATTTAAGATAGAGCCAAGATAAAGTAGCTTATGTAACAGATAAGGTACTCTGGGGCCACATAAAGGACTATTTTGCTGCCTCCCCTGAACGCTTTGCATGTACACTTGATGCCTAACAAGAATATTTTTTTTTTTCTGATAACGGACTGGACCTTCCTGTCCTTCCCAGTTCATAGCCAAGAGGTAACATTTGTTTGATCTTTCATCCCTCCTAGATGAGGAGCTCCTTCAGGGCATGGACCACACCTTATTCGTCCTCGTATCCCCAGTGTGCACCAGTGCTGGCACATAGCAGGACTGGTGCACACTGCCTGCCCAACAAATGACTGAATGGTTAGCGTGAGGGTGCGGTGGGTCATTACAATAACCCAGAGAGAGGCTTTTGACAGAACAACTACTCCACCCCTAGAGAAAGTACAGTCTGAATAGAGAACCACAGGGAATATGTGGGTCTGGTGGCTGTGGGGAGCAGAGGGAACGTGAGAAGAAAAAGTGGTTCGTTCTAAAGCCAAGGATGAGCAGGCTGATGAAGTTTATGCCCTCAAGTCTCATGTTCTGTTGTCTCACTGGTCTAACGACAGGGCCGACGTTTATCTGGTGGCTGGGCAAGTGTCCCTTCATTCTATAATTTCAGCTCCAACTGAAGCAACACCATAACACTGGCTCAGTGGCCACCATTCCACAAGCCACATACGTTGCTTCAGTTTTAAATTAGGTATTGTTTTTTCTGGCTGATTGGGCTGATTCTGGTCTGCTAACAATGAGATGCTCATGTATGGCCCTTTCATGTAGTCAATTCTTGGTAATTTTTTCCCCTCTCCTGTAATGCTGGAAAGGATTCCTAACAACAGTTGATCCAAAAATCAGCTTTCTTTGTCAACATAATGGTATCCTTTCAAACTCACATTTATAGACTTTGCAAGCTGGAAAGAAGAATAAAGCTTAGTTCCTGGTAAGGAAATTTGTCCCCAGAGGACTGAGTTGGGTCACAGTGAATTAGAAGTAGAATGCAGAGCCCCTAGCTTCCATTCCTTTGCTTCTGCTATCCGCTGCAGGTGCAGCCACAGCTGCCTGGGACACGGCCAGCTCGCCCTCCTCTGAGCTTCTGTACGATCAGGGCTCCCTCTGGATAGTTCTAAATTATCCGCGTTGGGAGGGGAGGAATGAGCAGACACGATTCTTCTGAGGTTAAGTTTCCTTGGAACGTTCCAGGTGATGTTTTTCTAAAGCTCCATCTCAACGGTGCTGACTTGGAGGCTTAGGAGACAGTGCAGAAACGCACTGGTTAGCAGAGAATTTGCCACAAACAGTTGCGTGGCTGATGAGCCGCGCAGTGGCAGCGCACTACTGTATACTAACAGCCCCCAAATCATTTATTCATCATCTAATAGGCATTATTTGAACACCTCTGGCTGCAACCTGTCCAATAAGGAGTTGAGCGGCTCGGGGCTTTGTGACCACCTAGAGGGGTGGGTTAGGGAGGGTGGGAGGGAGAGGCAAGAGGGAGGGGATATGGGGAGATATGTATACGTATAGCTGATTCACTTTGTTATACAACAGAAACTGAAACACCACATTATAAAGCTATTATACTCCAATAAAGGTGTTTTATTAAAAAAAAAAAAAGTTGAGCGGCTGCCTGCAACCCCCCACAGGCCCAAGGAGCCATAGAAACCGGGAGACACAGGGACTTGTGATTCTCAACTCAGATTTGGCCTTAACTTGTGTAGCGACCTGGGGCAAGTATTGTAAATCCTCCAGCCCGTAGCTTCAAAGCAAAAAGAAGTCTTTTCAAAAGGGAAGGGTATTTCTGGGAACCGTAGAAACACACAACAGCTGCAGAAGTGCTGTGAGCCCCTCTGCAGGCTCCCTGACCTGGGAGCCACAGCTCACCCACCCGCGGGCGGAGGCTGCCCACTGTCTGCCGACCAGGATGCCCCGTCCGGCCCCGGGGAGCCCGGGCAGCTGAGGCCCAGGGGGCGCCTTTCTCTTTAAGAGCCCCACAGGCGATCCTGATTGGCTGTAGCTATGCAGGTCTTTCTTCCCAGCTCCCTCGGAGGGCTCCCTCCTCCGCCGCTTTCTCGGCTCTTTCCACACCCCTCCCCCCACCCCCCTGCGTCCTCTCCAGCCCCTGGCGCTCGCCTCCTGTTCCTCGCCGCAGAGTTCAGCCCCGGCAGCGGTAAGGGTGACTCGCCAGCAACAGATGCCGGGCGCCAAGATTTGCATCCTTAAGCCACGCTGAACGCCAGAAGAAGAGAGAAGGAAGCAGAGAAGGGTCGGGAAGGCGGGGACGGGAGGTGCGGAAATCCCCTCCTAAAAGGCAGAAGCCGTCGCCCGCCCCGGAGAGCGCCGCGCCGGCTGATCGCCAGCTTGCTGCCGCTGCCACGAGCGCCCGCCTCTCCCCAGCCATGCCAGGCCCGGCCGCCGGCGAGGGGAAGGTCCCCTTCCGCAACGCCAAGGAGGAAATCCGTGTGGGCTTCGGGGTCCAGGGCTCGGAGGGCGGCGGCGGCGGCGGTCGGGAGAAGCCCGGCGCGCGCGGGCAGCGGCAGGACATCGTCTGGAGGAACGTCTTCCTGATGAGCCTGCTCCACTTGGGGGCCGTGTACTCCCTGGTGCTCATTCCCAAAGCCCAGCCGCTCACTCTGCTCTGGGGTAAGTTCCGCCGGCGCCCCCTGCGCCCCGGGCACCGAGGCGAGGCGGCGCCGCGTCGTGCGGGGTCGCGGGTCGCCGCTGGCTTCGGGCGGTGCGGAGCCCCCCTCCGCTCTCTGCTCGCCTCCCCACCACGCGCCCCGGTCTCCCGGCCTGCAGTCGTCCGGCCTTTGGGACAGGCAGGTATTTCTGTGCTGGTATTTTCAACTTCTGCCTCCCCCGCTGTCAGCTTGAGTAGGCGCCTTTGGCGGCGCCTGGATGGACTCGGGGTCCTTCGGCGCCACCGCTGTGCGCAGAGGCACACAGGCTGAACCCGGGTTCCAGGGCGGGGAGACCGATGGGATGATTGTGTCGCCCAGGCGGGTCCCAGGGGCACTCCTTTCTGCGCCCTTCGGCTTCTCAGTCTCCTCTGTGGGCCACGGACCTTGGGGCCGAGTTGAGGACAAGAACGGGAGTTGGAGCGGGGGTGGAGAGACCCGGCACCGGATCAGTCTTGATGTTCGCGCAGGAGATGGAAGACACCAGTTCCCTTCCTGCCCCTGCAAGGCCCCCATCCCTGCCCCCTCCGTGATCTTTTGTGCCCAGTTGCACTTCTACGGTCCCAGAAGTTTCTCGGCGAGCACACCAACCCCGCGGCGAGAGCGCTCTGCCCCCGGCACAAAGCTCAGACCGTGGCGGAGCAGATCCCCTCCGGGACCTATCCCTTCTGACCAGTGCCTGTCTGTCACCGCACCTGTAGCTCTCCCTCTCGCCACCCTCTTTCCTAGCACCCCCAACCCTGACGGCATGGGAGGGAGCCCAGGACCACCCCCCTCCAATCCCCCCCACCTCCCGGGGCCCGGGGGCCGAGTGCCTGCCCTACGTGACTCCGGTGGCTGACCTCAGAACCACTTCCAACACCCCCTGCCCCAGCAACTGGTTTTGGCCTCAGTCCCTGCAGTGGCCACGTTAGCCGAGACAAAAGGCGCTGGCCTTGATATCCTGGGCTGAGAATTGGACGAGGTGACCTAAGAAGCCCTTTCAGCTCTCCTTTCCGAGATCGCCAAGGAACGGGGGCAGGAGAAACACAACCTACTTTTATTCCCAGAGGGAAAGAGGAAGGAAGAAAATAAGAAAACCTCTTTCTGCAAGGTGTCTTATTTAGCACAGTGCCAGCTCCAAATGCCTGGGTTCATAATGGGGCCACTCGGTTCCAAGCCTTCCCCTGAAACTCTGCAGTCCCCGCTCTCGGAAGCAAACTCTTCCAGTAGATGGGTGCCTCTTAGGGGAGTGTGGCTGAGCAGAGCTGAGGAATGATGAGAGGGGCGGGGCGTCTTTGGGAATCTGTGAAGCCTCGCAGAGCCGCCTAAGCTTTGGGTAACCTCCCTGCTCAGCCCTCCCCTGCTCAGTACACCTCCTCAATTCAGTGTCCTTTTCACCATCTTCTTTGCTGTTATGTGTTGGTTTCATTCTCCCTGTCTTCTTTCTTCCTTTACCTCCAGACGACTAGATTGTGAGATGCTCAGTCATTGCTTCATGGACACACTCCCCCCCACCTGCCAACCAAAACCCTTATTGCCCTGGATCCTCCAGGGAGCTTCTCCCTCTCCACCCCACTCCTCCCTGCAGGGGCAGGACTGTGCCTTTGGACTTCAGAGCTCACCTGCCTCCAGGGGACTGGGGCTTAGCTTTAATAGCTGCAGGGAGAAGTGAGCACTTAAAATATTGTCTTACATGCCTGGAGCTCCACAGACCCACAGGCTCCATCCCTCACAGCCACCCACCCGCTGGTTCTGGCATCCCACCAGGAGCCACAAGGACAAGGCCTCCTCTCCAGGTTTGCCACTCACCTCTGCCCTTTCCAGGCCACTCACTGTGGTGGAGACAGAATCTTTCTTCTGAAAGACCTTGGCCAGAAGACACCGTCCTCGGCCTCAAACTCCTCCAGCTTCCCTGGAGAAGTCAACACACTGCAGGACTCTGGGTTCCCCTTTGTGGGTGATGTTGCCAAGCCCATCCTTGTGCCTTCTTGCATAGTCTTCTGCCGTAGCTACTTTTCATCAGTTCCATTCCCTGAATCTTGATTCACTCCCTACCTGGGTTTCATTGCTCCCCCGCTCCAAAAAAACCCAAACAAACAAACAGAAAAAGAGCCGACAGTGGTGGATATTGTAGTTTCAAGATTCAAACTTATGACTTAGAAACATTCCAAGTAAGTGAATGTTATCTGATGGATATCTTGTGAGAGAAGAAGTGAGGGAGAGAGACAGCTAAGATCAGTGTGCTGATGGCTAGAATCTTTAGGGAGACTGTTGATCAGGGTTATTTTCATTGAAAGCCCTGGTGCCTTGAGCTACAAGTTTCTCCCCACTGGATGCCCTTTTCATCATCTCTCCCACTGGCTCTGTCTAGTGTTAGGACTGAGTTCATGCACCAGTGGGCTGTTCATCCACTTCAGGGACCTGAGTTGTCAAGGCAGTAGGCTTAACTAGCCCATCTATTATTGCTTGCCACCCTCCACCCCAGGTATGGTTGCCCTGGAAACAGGAGGCGTCCATGCAGAGCACCCAGCAGAGGATGTTTTAGGTGTTCAGTTGTGCGAAGAGTAATTTGCGTGGCAGTAAAATGTCATCCATGAAAGATCCCATCAAGTTGTTCAGTCCAGACCTCCTCCACTGCCTCGCTCCTCACCTTTTTATGACTCTCCTTGGGCCCAGAGCAAGTTGTTTTCTCTTCTTATCCTTGCAGTTTTCTGAGTGGGCAGGCTGTCAGAACGGAATGCTCTTGGTGCCCACAGGTCCTGAGGGATGAGTTTATGACTTTTGAGGACAGAACACGACCTCCAGCTGGAGGAAGAATCTTCACCTGAAGCCTTGAGCTCAAAAAATGCCTGCTTTGAGGGTTTTTGGCCAAAGGGGCAGTTGTTCATGCCCTGAATCCCAGGATGAGCAGAATAGGGGAGTGAGAGGCAGCAGTTGTGGTGTTGAGGTCAAAGTCCTGTGCTCCTTCCCAGCAGCTTTGCCCTGTCTCCAGGCATTCTGGCCATTGGTTTCCAAAAACATGAGGGACTTTTCTGGCTTCCCTTGAAATGTCATCCGAATCCCCTAAATATGCCTTGGTGACATCATGACAATTTCAGTGATAGTATCAGGCATGCAAAACAGTAATATGCCCTGCTCCCTTCCATCTTGCCCCAGGGCAAATGTGACCATTGCTAAGGTAGATACAGGATTCTCTGGTGCCCTTCAGGTTGCTGGAACACAGCCTATGGCGAGGAATCTGAGTGGTGGCAGGAATTGACAAGGCAGTCTAGCAGGAGGGAGGATCAGGAGAGGCTGGGGTTTGGAAGGTACTGGTCCATAAGTCAAATTCTGTCCAATTCTGGGCTTCCCTGGTGGCGCAGTGGTTGGGGGTCCGCCTGCCGATGCCAGGGGACACGAGTTCGTGCCCCGGTCCGGGAGGATCCCACATGCCGCAGAGCGGCTGGGCCCATGGGCCGTGGCCGCTGAGCCTGCGCGGCCGGAGCCTGTGCTCCGCAACGGGAGAGGCCACAACAGTGAGAGAGGCCCGCGTACCGCAAAAAAAAAAATTCTGTCCAATTCTGAGAGTTGCCCAAAGATGAGTTGTCGTCGGTCAGGCCTTGGGTAACCTGAATCCACACCTTCGATGGTCCTGATGTCTTTGTTGTGTTTCTTTTTCCATCAAATCCCTAACATTGTTGAGGCACCCCAAGAATGCGTGGCCATGGACTTCTGTTTTACCTCTGGGTTTTCTAGGGTGAGCACAGCTCGGAAGAGAAACAACTGAGAATGTGAATCCTTGCTCTCCTACTTACTTACCAGCTGCATGGCCTTGGGCAAATGAACATCTCCAGGCCTCAGCTTTCTCACCTGTAAAATGGGTATAACAGTACTTCTTGCTCATGAGGTTGTGAGAATTAAATTCAATAATAGGTGTAAACTACTTAGCACAGTGCCTGGACCTTGGCTGATGTCCAGTAATTGTTAGCTGCTCTTATTATTGTTGGTCCTGATACTGGCTTTTTTTCTTTAGTAGAAGGAAAAAAGGCCCTCTTGCAGCACAATCAGTTCTACAAAGCTGGCACACAACATGGCTTCGTTGCCTCTCTTGCATGGAAAAGGTTGCTTTGGCTTGGGAAACAAGGGTTCTTTCTCAAAGTCTCCAAAGAGAAATGAACACAGATCCCCCGTCCCTCCTCCCTCCCCCATTCCCTTCTCTTTCATCCTCTCTTCCTCCTATTTTCCTCCAGGAGGCCACTATTTTTTAAATCAGAATCTTTTTGTTCAGCTGATAACTCACCTGGTCTTCAGTGTTTTCTTTGGGGCTTTTTGAGCGGAGCCCGTTGCAATTGCTGTAAAAACAGGGCCAAATCATTTCTCCTAAATGTCTTAGGGTCTCAGTTTTGACTTTTTTTCCCCGTTTCTGTCTCCTTGAATCATCTTTTTTTTTTTTAATCTTTAATGCTCAAACTACTAAAAAACTGAAAAACATAAATGAATCTTCCTTTTAAACCTTGTAATTCCCAGCCCATTGTTGCAACTCTTGCATTTTTAATAACCAGGCAAGCACTAAGAGCCCTACCCAAGGCTGGGTGGAGTGCAGCGAAACCTGAGAGAATGGAGTGTGCTTTTTGCTGGCTTAATAGTCTAAACAAATATAAATATAGGTTGAGGTTAACATTATTAACTCGTTTTTTTTCTAACACTGGTCAAGGTCACTACCAACTGCACTGTCATCCTGAAATGTGAAGTCGCTCTGCAGAGTAGAAACCAGAGCTGGAATCCCAGCATTGCCACTTAGTTCAACTTCGGGCGGGTCCCTTTCCAGTGTGTGAGCCTCCGTTTCCTGGTCTCTGAATTAGGGATGATAATACTGAGCTGAAAGTTGTTTTAAGAATCAGGGAAAATGTCAAACTGGTGCCAGAGGATGGACACGCAATGGTCTCTGTTACTACCAACCCCACCGTGGGCCAGGTGTCAGGGAACCTGCAGGGCTTCCGTGTC